ATTATTTCATTCATTCAGATCTAGGATGTGTTATTTTAGTGTTCCCTTTATTTTTTTGAGCAGTGTGTGTGTGTATATATATATATATATATATATATATATATATATATATATATATATATATATATATATATATATATATGTATATATATATATATATATATATATATATATATATATATATATATATATATATATATATACATATACAGTGGGGAGAACAAGTATTTGATACACTGCCGATTTTGCAGGTTTTCCTACTTACAAAGCATGTAGAGGTCTGTAATTTTTATCATAGGTACACTTCAACTGTGAGAGACGGAATCTAAAACAAAAATCCAGAAAATCACATTGTATGATTTTTAAGTAATTAATTTGCATTTTATTGCATGACATAAGTATTTGATCACCTACCAACCAGTAAGAATTCCGGCTCTCACAGACCTGTTAGTTTTTCTTTAAGAAGCCCTCCTGTTCTCCACTCATTACCTGTATTAACTGCACCTGTTTGAACTCGTTACCTGTATAAAAGACACCTGTCCACACACTCAATCAAACAGACTCCAACCTCTCCACAATGGCCAAGACCAGAGAGCTGTGTAAGGACATCAGGGATAAAATTGTAGACCTGCACAAGGCTGGGATGGGCTACAGGACAATAGGCAAGCAGCTTGGTGAGAAGGCAACAACTGTTGGCGCAATTATTAGAAAATGGAAGAAGTTCAAGATGACGGTCAATCACCCTCGGTCTGGGGCTCCATGCAAGATCTCACCTCGTGGGGCATCAATGATCATGAGGAAGGTGAGGGATCAGCCCAGAACTACACGGCAGGACCTGGTCAATGACCTGAAGAGAGCTGGGACCACAGTCTCAAAGAAAACCATTAGTAACACACTACGCCGTCATGGATTAAAATCCTGCAGCGCACGCAAGGTCCCCCTGCTCAAGCCAGCGCATGTCCAGGCCCGTCTGAAGTTTGCCAATGACCATCTGGATGATCCAGAGGATGAATGGGAGAAGGTCATGTGGTCTGATGAGACAAAAATAGAGCTTTTTGGTCTAAACTCCACTCGCCGTGTTTGGAGGAAGAAGAAGGATGAGTACAACCCCAAGAACACCATCCCAACCGTGAAGCATGGAGGTGGAAACATCATTCTTTGGGGATGCTTTTCTGCAAAGGGGACAGGACGACTGCACCGTATTGAGGGGAGGATGGATGGGGCCATGTATCGCGAGATCTTGGCCAACAACCTCCTTCCCTCAGTAAGAGCATTGAAGATGATGACAACGACCCGAAACACACAGCCAGGGCAACTAAGGAGTGGCTCCGTAAGAAGCATCTCAAGGTCCTGGAGTGGCCTAGCCAGTCTCCAGACCTGAACCCAATAGAACATCTTTGGAGGGAGCTGAAAGTCCGTATTGCCCAGAGACAGCCCCGAAACCTGAAGGATCTGGAGAAGGTCTGTATGGAGGAGTGGGCCAAAATCCCTGCTGCAGTGTGTGCAAACCTGGTCAAGACCTACAGGAAACGTATGATCTCTGTAATTGCAAACAAAGGTTTCTGTACCAAATATTAAGTTCTGCTTTTCTGATGTATCAAATACTTATGTCATGCAATAAAATGCAAATGAATTACTTAAAAATCATACAATGTGATTTTCTGGATTTTTGTTTTAGATTCCGTCTCTCACAGTTGAAGTGTACCTATGATAAAAATTGCGTAGGTGCTTCAATGCTCTTACTGAGGGAAGGAGGTTGTTGGCCAAGATCTCGCGATACATGGCCCCATCCATCCTCCCCTCAATACGGTGCAGTCGTCCTTTCCCCTTTGCAGAAAAGCATCCCCAAAGAATGATGTTTCCACCTCCATGCTTCACGGTTGGGATGGTGTTCTTGGGGTTGTACTCATCCTTCTTCTTCCTCCAAACACGGCGAGTGGAGTTTAGACCAAAAAGCTCTATTTTTGTCTCATCAGACCACATAGATATATCCGGCTTCAATCATGAGAAACTAGGATTCTGTAGTGATTTTCCTGTAAATGTCATAAAATGTTGTGTTCTAACAGGCCTACATATTGTTTGAACTGTTGTTGAAGACCGTCAATAACATTAAACTTGGCTGTTATTGTCTCCAACACTATTTTAGATGTAGCAGTCGGTTTAGCTAGCATGCTAGTTTACCAGCATCGGAAACAGTAACTTATGGTTAGCATCGAATTTCAAATATTTTTTTTGTATAATACAGTTGATTGGTGAGAATTACACATTCCAGCATGATATTCATGCAAGCATTATAATATGATTACAACCCAAAAGTAATGTGAAATTCACTCGTAACTTAAATAAGCTTAGTCTTGGCTTGCTAGCCAGCTAAGCTAATTGCAGGTTAACTAGGCGGAGCATTGGATCATGGGAGATGAAATGCACCCTGGGAATTGTAGTATACTGGAGACTAAGGCAAAGCAGACGCTTTAGTAATAATATAATAATAATAATAATAATTTAAAAATGACAAACGAGGAATCGTGCAGTTATTAGAATGACTAACAAAAACGATGAAAACATCCAAATGTGTATCAAATCTTACAGTAGTGCATATATACTAAGAGCATAATAACTGATTATAAAGTGATGGAATTACCTTAATCATTCTGAATGAATGCCTTTCTTAGTTTGGTCATCCAATAACACGATAACGCATTGTTTGGTGTTATAAATTCTATAGGTGTAGTAGGTTGTACGTGTTGTTCTAAAGCTTATTTTTGAGAGAACTGGTACAGTAGTAGTGCAACTTAGCATTCATTAATACTAAAACAAATTGCCATGATGGGTTAATACTAATAAGTCTCAGCTAAATTAAGACTGCATTACTTACATAATCAACTTAAAACTAGGGTAGCCTTCATCAATATGTTAGTAAGAAAGAGCTTGGCAAGGGGTTATTTGAAGGGTTAAGAATGATCTTACTTCCCCTTTTACCATTTTGAAATGGGCCAGTCTTAATTTGTTTTCCATTAAATGTATAGGCCAATTGACCCGCCCAAACTGCTTTTGACTGTCCACTTTCATTTTTATATAATTAAAGCATCGAAAATAATATTTCTCAAGCTGTGTTAATGGATTTGCTCAAGTCATCAATGTCCACTTAGGCCTAGTGTTTCCATTTGGAGAGTGGCACACATCCTGCTGCTCACAGTTGAGTGGTATCCTCCGCTAACGGTTTTCCAGGAATGTCATTTTCAGGGTGCCTTGGCTTGACAATGAGCAGAACTGGGATCAGGCTAAAGTTGACTATGCTAGGTATCGGCTATAGACCCTTTTCCCAGTACACGACACACTGACGTCACGCACTTAACCCTAATTGCTCCTGTAAGTCGCTCTGGATAAGAGCGTCTGCTAAATGACTGAAATGTAAAAAGGAAAGCCATCGCCATCTGCGCCCATTCAACATAGCCTAGATTTATGTTTTTATTACTTCTAAATAAAATAACTTTTTGGGGTTCTCATATGCTTACAATTATGTTTTGATTCTTGGTTGAACAGTCGCTAAGATTATATTTGGTTGTGATCTTTGCAAAATAACTATTTTGGATGCAGCAGTTGTTAGCTAGAATGCTAACGCTCATTGATATAGGCTGTAGCAAAAGCTAGCCAAAGAGCCATTTTACTAGTTGAAGTTAAGTGTTTTTTAAGTATAATGCGGTTGATTTACGATGATGACACAAACATTATATTAAGCAGGACATTCATAACAGCCTTAAAATCCAATTATAATCCAAAAGCAGTGTGAAATGCACTCATAAGCAGAAGCTTTTTGATATTCGAACTCCCCCTTGTTCTGCCACCAACATGCGCTTCGCCCTCGTGCGGCAATGTTTGTAAACACAGAAAGGGGTCTATTGGCCTAAACTCTCATTGCATTCAATTAGCCTACTGGTCATTGACAATTCTTTTAAAAAAAATCTGATTTGGTAGATCTACTTATTGGTTAGGGGCTTTGAATTAGGCTAGGTTTTGGTTTCTTCCACTTCCATTCAAGTAGGCCTAGTTATCACACTTCTGGGTATTAGGCCTATGTCATCATATTGCTGATAAAAATGTATGTCTGGGAAATGCCTGTAGTGTGTTTTGTGCAGGGCTTCCCCTGTTCCCCGTCTACTAGTAGAAAATGGGCACTCTTCCTTTAAAGAAATTGCTGCTAGTTTACCCAGTGCTCCAGGGCATAGTGGGGGAGGGAGTTTGTTTATGGGAAGACATGCTTTTGCATCCTCAGTCATGACATCACAAAGAGGAGAGGCTCAATGGCATAACATAACATATCCTTTTATGGAACTAGATGGAATGTTCCATTCCGGAAGAGGTTGCTATTCTCTTAACTGTTGACACTTTCCTTATTTTTCCTCCTAAAGTGTAGGCTAAGTTATTCACCTAGGTGATTGTTCCACTATTTTAGGCCCAGGCGTATGTTTTTCTCCTGTCTATTCATCTTCCTTTGATTGTCTTTTTACTCCATTGATCTTGTTTAGAGTAGATTAATTAGTTTAGAGAAGGGCTGTGTTGTTTTTTTCGGGTCTGCTGCTGGATTTGTGATGTAAAGGCACACTTGGTGATCTTGCCCTAGCACAGTGATAGGCATTCCATCTTGTTTGAAGTATTATCTTTGAAAGTTATTTCCTTAATTAACACTGTTACAAAGACCCTTAACCTCTTGTCAGTACTATTTTGCCTTGCTGCATTACAACTCGTTTGTCCCAATTATATATATATATAAAACGCCTACAAGAGTGTATGACACATTGTGCACTCATGCAGGCAACCCCCATCACACACACACACACACACACACACACACACACAAAGAGCCTCCTCTCAACTTCACCTATTGTCCCCTGCCTTTAGCACACCCGCTGTTCGGCAGGATGGTATCTCCCGTGAACTAGCAGTAACCTCCCCCTCCCTGAGTCAGATTTATCTCTTCTCCAAGGAAATACTGTAGATCAGGAAACCCAGTTTTGAAAACGTCTGTCATCATTAAAGGAGTACTAGTAGAGAGCAGACTGGCAGAGCATGACAACACTTCTGAATCCACTGGAGTTTCACTGAATCCCTTTCCAATGTTTCAGTGTTTTGCGCCATGGTGCCTCTGTCAGGGTAAGCAACACAACTAGTTGGTTTCTTTTGTTGGTGTTCCGGCTACATTTCCTGTAAAGGTCGTTAGCCTAGCTGTTGTGCTAGTCAGACTGTCACCAAACTTCATTATCAAATTGGGATAATTGGCGTTATGAAGGGTGGAATTGTCAGTTTCTCAAAGGAGCATGGCCCTAAACTCATGGTGTTCAGACACCTGTTAGTCTGTTTGTCATATAGAAGTGAGTTCAGGAAGCCTTATTAGCAGTACAGTAGGTCTTATCAAATTGTATTTGTCACATGCGCCGAATACAACAGGTGTAGACCTTACAGTGAAATGCTTACTTACCAGCCCTTAACCAACAATGCAGTTTTAAGAAAGAATACAACAAAAAAAAACTTGTGTAATTGGCCATTTATTTTTGTGAAAAATGTATTTTTCCATTGTTGTTTTTATGGGTAGCCTAACTGCCGCTGGTTTTGGTAGCCTTACCATCAATCTATTCCTTTCTACTAATTTGTTTGGTAGCACAGCTTTAGTCTTTTTTTTATCAGTGCTAAAATATGAGTAAAAGGAACCTTTTCGAGGTAACACATTCGGGCAGGTATAGTCTTGTTTCATAGTTGTTGTTTGGTAGCTTTGTCTTCAGCATTAGTAGTTTATACTGAACAAAAATATAAACGCAACATGCAACAATTTCAAAGATTTGGGAACTGGAACACGCTGTCGTACACATCGATCCAGAGCATCCCAAACATGCTCAATGGGTGACATGTCTGGTGAGTATGCAGGCCATGGAAGAACTGGGACATTTTCAGCTTCCAGGAATTGTGTACAGAACCTTGTGACATGGGCCCGCGCCATGAGGTGATGGCGGCGAATGAATGGCACGACAATGGGCCTCAGGATCTCGTCACGGTATCTCTGTGCATTCAAATTGCCATCGCTAAAATGCAATAGTGTTCGTTGTCCCTAGCTTATGCCTGCCCATACCATAACCCCACCGCCACCATGGGGCACTCTGTTCACAACGTTGATATCAGCAAACTGCTCGCCCACACGACGCCATACACGTGATCTGCGGTTGTGAGGCCGGTTGGACGTACTGCCAAATTCTCTAAAACGACATTGAAGAAAGGAACATTACATTCTCTGGCAACAGCTCTGATGGACATTCCTGCAGTCAGCATGCCAATTGCATGCTTCCTCAAGACATGAGACATCTGTGGCATTGTATTGTGTGACAAAACGGCACATTTTAAAGTGGCCTTTTATTGTCCCCAGCACAAGGTGCACCTGTGTAATGATCATGCTGTTTAATCAGCTTCTTGATATGCAACAACTGTCAGGTGGCTGGATTATCTTGGCAAAGGAGAAATGCTCACTAACAGGGATGTAAACAAATTTGTGGCCAAAATTTGAGAGAAAAAAGCTTTTTGTGCATATGGAAAATGTATGGGATCTTTTTATTTCAGCTCATGAAACATGGGACCAACACTTTACATGTTGCGTTTATATTTTGGTTCAGTATAGATCAGAGCCAGCTGGTCCACATATTGCTACATTGCATTGTTCACAGCATAGGCCCAGTTTCAATTTAAAGGAAAAATCCACTCAAACTATATTTAGGTATTTTTTTATATTAGTCCCAAAATGTTTAGCATGTGAAGCAAGATTATGGACTTTCAAGAAGCAAAGTGTCACTTGCTACATCATCATGATGATGCGTTTTGTGTCATATGATGCGTTTTGCATTATCATGATAATGTGGCAAGTGACACTTTGCTTCTTGAAAGTCCCAATATCTTGAAAACTTGACTGCTGACATGCAAAACATAAGTCAAAGTTAAGTGCAAGGCCTAATTCTAGGTTCCCATATTTTAATGGCTTGGTAGTAGTTACTTACTGTTTACACTTATGTATGTATGCACAGGTGCCATTGAAACCCATAATAAGGTTGTTGTTGATGCTCTCCAGATAATTTTCTCGAAGCCCCAACTTGCCTCATAATATACAGCAGGTAATTTAAATGGGATGAATAGTGGGGGAAGCTTTTACAGAGGGCCAGGACATTTATATATCTGATCAGTCAGCTTTGTCAAATTAAGCAACAGCCCATTCACACATTTACACAAGGCCCATCCCTAACGGAGTCGTATGCATCTACAAATATTAAGGACAGCCCTCCCTCATAATTTTCTGAATCCTTTTAGCTAGGCAAGGCCTACTCCTTATCTGAAGGTCTTTGGTAGGTTTTTATTTACCTACATTTTCCCAATCTCCTGTTCCTCATTATTCAGACCGTACGCTAAAATGCCACGTGATGGGGTTGAATGTGTTGCTGAGACTGAGTGGTATAAATTGAGTTTTAATGGTGGCCATTATAAAAAAACAAAATTTAATGACTATCATACCAGTTATGACTTTTGTCACTTCCTGTTCTTTACCTGTATGGTTAATGGAAGGTATACAACCATCTGCTTTCGTTGATGACTCAACCCTGTAGCTTATAGTGTATTGAGCAGTCAGGGAATTGCCATAGGCCTTATGTAGCTTAGTCTAACCAGGAAACAGTTAAACAGCACACGTGCAGTGCCTTGTGTTTTGAGCGGAGGTGAGGGACAGGGTAATCTTACTCTGTCAACACTCCTTAAAGCATTGTTCTACTCTTCACAGCAACAGAGAGGCTAGGGTAGGCCTGCATATGTCAAAGTGTGGACATATTTTTGAGAAACTACCAACTAACTTTTAACTTCATGGAGATCTCTGTTAATTGAACCCACTTTTCAGGTGATGCCTGCCTGACCCTCTAATCTCTCGTGGAAATATTTTTTTTAAACCACAAAAATAGAACTCACGATTAGAATGTGTACACGTTTTCCCTGGGATGTCACCAGATGCTTGCAGTGATGATTTACAAGCCGTTAGTAGAAATGATGTTGATGGTCCTGTTGGCAGATTGCGTTTTGGCCACATACATTGTACGTTACATTTGAGTAATTTAGCAGACACTCTTATCCAAAGCAATTAGGGTTAAGTGCCTTGCTCAAGGGCACACCAGCAGATTTTTCACCTAGTCGGCTCGGTGATTCGAAAAACGACAACCAACATGAAATTATGATTTATGGTCAATATTTTTATTGGCTTGATATATTTGAGGGTGGGATATGTACTGTAGAAAATGGAAGTGGGTAGTTAGGAAGCAATGTACGCAGCAGGCCTACCTAGTACTAGATAGCCTAGCTGTTAAAATGCTAATTTCATTCATTCCATTGACTTAACTGTGTTATCTCTGTCCCACAGTTGTTCCAACATACAAATCAGTAGCTTTCTGATCACCATGAATCATTGTAATAACTCTTTAGACTTGTGGGTGTGTAGATGTTCTAGTCCCCCTTTTAAGCCATTGAAACATGCCCTTCCCCTAAGTTGTTGTATCAGTTTTTCTTTGTGTACTCTGCAGTATCACTTGGTGTTTTTTCATGTAGACAGAAGTATTTGGAAGCTGCCATTTTCTCTTCTCCACGCTTAGTGACTGTGTCTCTGTTGTTAGCAACATGAACCGTGAGGACCGGAATGTGCTCCGTATGAAAGAAAGAGAAAGGAGAAATCAAGAAATCCAGCAGGGAGGAGAGGCCTTTCCAGCTCACTCCCCTCTCTTTCCTGAACCTTATAAAGTTGTAAGTTTATTTTGTTATTCATTTTGTTTTGCTTCTGTCATTTAGTTAACTCTTGGAGTTCAGACTTTTGTTACTCCTATAGCCTAAGTATTCCCATTATTCTATGATTGATTTGTAGGATTCATTGATTGATACATCTTTTTAAACCAGAGAACTGCCTACTTGTTTTTATATCCGAACAGTGGCAGGGAGAGTTTGAGGTAAGTGTATTGTTTGGGGGAACTGCATCAGCTGCAGATAATGTGGGCCCAGGGCTGTTGCTGGCTGCTCAGGGGGAATGTAAGGCCCTGCCCTCGCTGGCTGAGGTGCCCTGCCCTCGCTGGCTGAGGTGCCCTGCCCTCGCTGGCTGAGGTGTCCTGCCCTCGCTGGCTGAGGTGTCCTGCCCTCGCTGGCTGAGGTGCCCTGCCCTCGCTGGCTGAGGTGTCCTGCCCTCGCTGGCTGAGGTGTCCTGCCCTCGCTGGCTGAGGTGTCCTGCCCTCGCTGGCTGAGGTGTCCTGCCCTCGCTGGCTGAGGTGTCCTGCCCTCGCTGGCTGAGGTGTCCTGCCCTCGCTGGCTGAGGTGTCCTGCCCTCGCTGGCTGAGGTGTCCTGCCCTCGCTTTCTGAGGTGTCCTGCCCTCGCTTTCTGAGGTGTCCTGCCCTCGCTGGCTGAGGTGTCCTGGCTGAGATCCTTTAGCTTGTATTTCCTTCCTTACTCCTCCTCACAGAAGAGCCTGAGGTAAGTGCATAACCCCTAGTCCCTTTTGTCCCATCAAATTGCTAGATCATCGTGGGCAGTAAACAGTCCACATGTAAAGGGGACCTGCATACTGATATCTGTAGGATACCTGTATGGCACAGTGGCCTATCATATAGCGGTTGAGTAGTAGACCTAACCGTTATTGATGTTGATGCTTACTAGGCCCCTGTAGTCAACTAAACCAGTGGTTCCCAACCTTTTTCAGTTACTGTACCACCAACTGATTTTTGCTCTGTACAGAGTACCCCTGAAGTACATGTGCATTTTTACCAGTAAGCCTATGGTCTCATGAGTCTTCTCAAGTACCCCCAGGGGTCATAGTACCCCTGGTTGGGAACCACTGAACTAAACAACAGTAAACAGTTGGTTTAGGGATGCACATTCACCATGAGCACTGATGTGGGCCAGCGCTCCCACCCCGCCAACTCAATTATAAAGATTTCAGCCCCTGGCTGAGTCTAATCTTTGTCACTAACCAGATTTAAACTGAGTTAAGTGGCTCCTCACTTAGCTAGAGGACCCATCAAGGATGGCTTGGAATGCGTCATGACAGGTAGCGAATGGAAAGGGGTGACAGGTGAGTGCTACCTGGAAAGCCAAGTTGTCTTTTGTCCCCACATAGTGAAAGGTAAGCAGGTGGCTTTGCCGATGAAGGCTCTCCCACCGCCATCCATTGACAACCATGGCAGCCATGTTGTGTTCAGCAGCTCTCAGAGCCCTGAGTTCACTGTTTACCCATGCAGTTGTTTACCCATGCCGTTACAAAATGAGGCATGTAATGTAGAAATGGGAAACATCAACTGGCTAACTAAAACTCCAACTTCTCACCTGGGCAGTAGAATGATGCTTTGTGATATTTTCTAGAGAGTTACGTGACATCAGTCGTGACCAGTAGTATTCATGGTCCAGTAAAATTAGTTTACTTTGTCCTCCTGTAAATTCCATGGCTGTTACTTTAAAGATCCATTAACAAAGCTGCCACTGAAGTTTTACAATTATAGAAGCGTGGTAACATTTTTACACTGGTTGCTCAGATGCAGCTCAGCTTTCCCCAGTCAGAAAGAAAAATGCTGATCTTAAATGTCTTTGTAGAATAATGACTCCACTTCAGATGTATTTGTCTAGGCCTGTTGCTTTTTCCTTCAAAGTATATTACTCTCTGATGATATAATTTTTTGAAGTGATCTCCTGAGAACATTGTAAATGTAGTTTTAAAACTGGTGCATGAATTGTAAAAGATAGGGTTAGACATTACCTTTTTCCGCTCTTGTTTACTACCGAGAGCCCTTCCACCAAAGTGTGGGCCTTGCATGGTGGCACACTTAAGCATTGTACACAAGCAACATATTGCAAGGCAACCCCAATCACTAGTGTGAATGGGCAATGATGGATTTTTTTTTTAGTCATTTAGCAGATGCTCTTATCCAGAGCGACTTACATGAGCAATCATGGTTAAGTGCCTTGCTTAAGGGCACATCGACAGATTTGTCGGCTCAGGGATTAGAACCAGCGACCTTTCGGTTGCTGGCACAACGCTCTTACCCACTAAGCTACCTGCCGGCCAGCTCATTTTTCTTTCCTTTCCTCACAAGTGCTGTGCTGTGTCTGTCCATCCAGGTCAGACAAGCTTCGTGTAGCACGTGTTCTTACATCTCCTGCTACAGATGTTGGCTTGTGTTTCTCACCCCACAGCTTGTATGTGTCAGAAAGAATCGGTTTGGGGCCCCCATGTGAAATTGGATAGGCTCCACACTCTGTGGTTTACCTCTTGTCATCTGTAGCGGGAGTGATTGATTAACCTCTAGTGGAGCCATGGAAGGGCCTTATCTCTCTATGCAGATGGTCCCCAATGGTCGTGAGGCGACTGAATAAGCCAATCATTTCTTGTGTGATTAGTTGATAGGGCCCTCCTCTCTTCAATATTGTTTAAACTTTAAGCTTTTAGAGGGCAAATAATATAATGATTTTTTTGTGAATGTTTTTAGTTATAAGAAACATTGAAGGCTCTTTTGCCTCAAAGAAAAAGGGTTATTCGTAATTCAGATGTTTTTTTCACCACAATAAATTTAAAGTTTGGGTAGCATATTTCATTCATGTATTAGACTAAAGGCAATTCATTCGAGGCCTTAACTGCTGTCCTGAAGGTGACCCTCTGTTTCTCTCTCTCGCTCTCTCTCTTTCTGTTTTTGTCTTTCTGTTTTTGTTTGTGCAGTCCAGCAAAGAAGATAAACTGTCCAGTCGTATCCAGAGTATGCTTGGAAACTACGACGAGATGAAGGAACCTATCGGAGACACAATTCCAAAACTCGGTGGCAAACCCTCAGGCTCATCCTCCTCCGAGGAGAAGTCCGGCCAGTCTCTGTTTGGGGAGCAGCGTGGTGGTGGCCAGAGTAGTAAATGGACTCCAGTAGGGCCAGCAGCCAGCACCTCGTCCTCCCAGTCCTCCAAGAGATCCAGCCTCCAGGGCAGCCACAGCGGTAGCAGGAGTAGCCAACGACACGAGCGGGAACACAAGAAGTCCAGCAAGCATGGCTCAGAACACTCCAAGTCCCACACGTCCAGCCCAGCCAAGGGCTCCCTGAGCTCCAGTCACTCCCGTTCACTGGGCGCTGAGCACCACGGCAAAGAGCGCTACCGCTCCAAGTCCCCACGCGAGCGCGAGGCCAACTGGGACTCCCCGTCGCGTGTGCACACGTCCTTCCCCAGCGCCCCGCACTCCAGCCAGGCCTTCCCCCCTTCGCTTATGTCCAAGCCCAGCTCCATGCTACAGAAGCCTACAGCCTACGTGCGTCCCATGGATGGCCAGGAGACGGTGGAGCCCAAGACCTCGTCAGAGATGTACAGCGGCCAGTCCCACAGCAGCACCATGGGGGAGATGAAGTCCAACGGCAAGGCCTCGCTCTCCAAGCTCAAGATCCCCTCGCAGCCTGTTGAGGTAAAACCACAGAACTAGAATGAGTAGAACATTCTAGAGCAGGGGTGTCAAACTCATTTTAGCTCAGGGGCCACATGGAGGAAAATCTATTCCCAAGTGGGCCGGACCGGAAAAATCATGGTATATATAACTTAAAAACAACAACTTCAGATTGTTTTCTTTGTTTTAATACGATCAACATACAACATAAAGCTGGAGCCTGAGGACAGTGTGTCCAAAATAGTACAAGCACAACATCACTATTAATAATAAAACACGTCAAGTTTATTTGAAAATTCTAAAGAAAAAGAACACACAAACACACAATGCCTCAGTGATTAACAGAACTGTTTCACAGATCACAGAACTATATCAGGGTGTCATTTCTCAGGCAGAAATGTAGATAAAAATAATGAAATCCTGTTCCCCAAACAAGTGCAAGAACCACAGAGTCAAGAATAGGTTAAATATACAAATAAAATAAAATCAATTAAAAACAATAGCACATCAACATAAAAACATATAAACATAAAGCTGGAGCCTGAGGACAGTGTCCAAAAGCACAACATCACTATTAATCATAAAACACCTCAAGTTATTTGAAAGTTCTGAGGACAAAGAACACACAAACACACAATGCCTCAGTGATTCACAGAAGTATATCACAGATCACAGAACTATATCAGGGTGTCATTTCTCAGGCAGAAATGTAGATAAAAATAATGAAATCCTGTTCCCCAAACAAGTGCAAGAACCACAGAGTCAAGAATAGGTTAAATATACAAATAAAATAAAATCAATTAAAAACAATAGCACATCAACATAAAAACATATAAACATAAAGCTGGAGCCTGAGGACAGTGTCCAAAAGCACAACATCACTATTAATCATAAAACACCTCAAGTTATTTGAAAGTTCTGAGGACAAAGAACACACAAACACACAATGCCTCAGTGATTCACAGAAGTATATCACAGATCACAGAACTATATCAGGGTGTCATTTCTCAGGCAGAAATGTAGATAAAAATAATGAAATCCTGTTCCCCAAACAAGTGCAAGAACCACAGAGTCAAGAATAGGTTAAATATACAAATAAAATAAAAACAATTAAAAACAATAGCACATCAACATAAAAACATATAAACATAAATCTGAAAGCGTTGCTCAAACTCCCGTAACAGTCCCGTTATTTTATCTTTGAACCGCTTCATGTCTGCCACATGTTGGGTCGCGCACACATTTTTCAGACAGGGGAAGTGAGCTGCATCACCACCGGCAAGTTGCGTCTCCCACAATGACAGCTTCAACTTGAAAGAACGTATGCTGTCATAATACTGCGTGACAACTTTGTTGCGCCCTTGCAGCTGTTTGTTCAAGTTATTCAGGTGCTCTGTAACATCCACCATAAATGCAAGGTCCTGCATCCATTCTGCGGAATGAAATTCTAACACTGGTTTGCCCTTTTCTTCCATGAACTGTTCAATTTCTTCTCGTAAATCAAAGAAACGCCTCAGCACAGCACCTCGGCTTAACCATCTTACCTCAGTGTGGTATGGCAGGCCATAGATGTGGTCTTTCTCTCTGAGAAGGCTGTCAAACTGACGGTGATTCAGGCTTCTGGATCGGATGAAATTAACAGTTTGGATGACCACCTTCATGACGTTATCCATCTTTAATGACTTGCAACACAAAGCCTCCTGGTGCAAAATACAGTGAAAAGTCAAAAAATCACGTCCTCCATTTGCAGATTGCACTTTCTCTCTGAACTTTGTCACAACGCCTGCTTTTTTCCCGATCATTGAGGGCGCACCATCTGTAGCCAGGCTGACAGCGCGGGACCAGTCCACTCCGACCCTGTCCAGCGCGCCGACGAGTGCGGTAAAAATATCAGCTGCTGTCATTGTATCTGTCATCGGCACCAACTCCACGAACTCCTCGGTGACGGTCAATGTGTCATCAACTCCGCGGATGAAAATGGCCAGTTGTGCAACATCTGTAATGTCCGTGCTTTCATCAATTGCAACCGAAAACGCAATAAATGACTTTACTTTTTGCTTCAACTGGCTGTCCAAATCCACTGAAAGATCGGAAATCCTGTCTGCAACTGTGTTTCTTGTCAGGCTGATATTTGCAAAAGCCTGCCGCTTTTCAGGGCACACAATCTCCGCTGCCTTCATCATGCATGTTTTTACAAATTCACCCTCACTAAATGGTTTTGAAGCCACTGCGATTTCATTAGCAATGAGGTAGCTAGCTTTCACTGCAGCGTCACTGATGTCTCGGCTGTGAGTAAACACAGACTGCTGTTTCTTCAGACCCGCCAACAGTTCATTCACCTTCTCTCATCTCCGCTGTCCTTGAAAGTTGTCATATTTGTCGGCATGAAGACTCACATAGTGGCGACGAAGGTTATATTCTTTCAGCACTGCAACATGCTCTGAACACACCAAACATACAGCTTTCCCATTCAATTCCGTGAAGAAATAGGATGACCATTTTTCTTGGAACACTCTGCACTCTGCGTCCACTTTTATCTTTTTTGACAGAGACATATTGGGGCAATGAGGGTGCCAAAGCACATAATGTTAAAAGTAGAAGCCGTAATAAATATCGCGGGCAAAACAAAGTAGCTCATTGGCTGCACGTGCTTGACCTACTTGCTCTGCCCCGGTATAAACAGTTTGCTTGCTTAACACAATTGCTATTGCGCCATCCAGTGGACGCAATTGGAACAGCAGTTTATTTTATTGAAAAATTGCAGCGCATTTTTATACTTTACAAAATTATTATTATTATTATAAAAAAAAAAAAAAAATGTAAAACATTTTTTTTATCATCTCGCGGGCCGGATTAAACCCGTTTGCGGGCCGGACGTTTGACACCCCTGTTCTAGAGATTCTAGAGAATAAAACGTGTTTCATTACAATGATGTCATTATGTTAGCATGGCACTTAGTCACTTACAAGATGAAAGATGACACATGAACATTTGTTGTTTACCTGCCATTTTTGAAAAAAATCCTTACAATGCTATGTTATTTGTAGGGTTCCATGACTGGGGATGCCAATTGTGTTGATGAGATTTTAAAGGTAAGTACGTTTTTCAGATGATATCTTGTATTGTAAGCTGAGTAAGACATTTTAGTTTTTTTCTTCCAGTCATTAAGGTCTTCACTTTACATTTTCTATTTTTCCCTCCAGGAAATGACTCAGTCCTGGCCCCCTCCGTTGACAGCCATCCACACCCCCTGTAAAACGGAGCCTTCAAAGTTTCCATTCCCTACCAAGGTCAGACACAGTTGTGAATTCAGCCGGCACTATTTCTAGACTAGTCATTGGTACAATATGTAAAATGTATTTTTTCATGGATTGTTGTTGTTGTTGATTATATTGGAATGCTCTATATGAAAATGGTATATACAGTGGGGAAAAAAAGTATTTAGTCAGCCACCAATTGTGCAAGTTCTCCCACTTAAAAAGATGAGAGAGGCCTGTAATTTTCATCATAGGTACACGTCAACTACGACAGACAAATTGAGGGGAAAAAATCCAGAAAATCACATTGTAGGATTTTTAATGAATTTATTTGCAAATTATGGTGGAAAATAAGTATTTGGTCACCTACAAACAAGCAAGATTTCTGGCTCTCACAGACCTGTTACTTCTTCTTTAAGAGGCTCCTCTGTCCTCCACTCGTTACCTGTATTAATGGCACCTGTTTGAACTTGTTATCAGTATAAAAGACACCTGTCCACAACCTCAAACAGTCACACTCCAAACTCCACTATGGCCAAGACCAAAGAGCTGTCAAAGGACACCAGAAACAAAATTGTAGACCTGCACCAGGCTGGGAAGACTGAATCTGCAATAGGTAAGCAGCTTGGTTTGAAGAAATCAACTGTGGGAGCAATTATTAGGAAATGGAAGACATACAAGACCACTGATAATCTCCCTCGATCTGGGGCTCCATGCAAGATCTCACCCCGTGGGGTCAAAATGATCACAAGAACGGTGAACAAAAATCCCAGAACCACACGGGGGGACCTAGTGAATGACCTGCAGAGAGCTGGGACCAAAGTAACAAAGCCTACCATCAGTAACACACTACGCCGCCAGGGACTCAAATCCTGCAGTGCAAGACGTGTCCCCCTGCTTAAGCCAGTACATGTCCAGGCCCATCTGAAGTTTGCTAGAGTGCATTTGGATGATCCAGAAGAGGATTGGGAGAATGTCATATGGTCAGATGAAGCCAAAATATAACTTTTTGGTAAAAACTCAACTTGTCGTGTTTGGAGGACAAAGAATGCTGAGTTGCATCCAAAGAACACCATACCTACTGTGAAGCATGGGGGTGGAAACATCATGCTTTGGGGCTGTTTTTCTGCAAAGGGACCAGGACGACTGATCCGTGTAAAGGAAAGAATGAATGGGTCCATGTATCGTGAGATTTTGAGTGAAAACCTCCTTCCATCAGCAAGGGCATTGAAGATGAAACGTGGCTGGGTCTTTCAGCATGACAATGATCCCAAACACACCGCCCGGGCAACGAAGGTCCTGGAGTGGCCTAGCCAGTCTCCAGATCTCAACCCCATAGAAAATCTTTGGAGGGAGTTGAAAGTCTGTGTTGCCCAGCGACAGCCCCAAAACATCACTGCTCTAGAGGAGATCTGCATGGAGGAATGGGCCAAAATATTAGCAACAGTGTGTGAAAACCTTGTGAAGACTTACAGAAAACGTTTGACCTGTGTCATTGCCAACAAAGGGTATATAACAAAGTATTGAGAAACTTTTGTTATTGACCAAATACTTATTTTCCACCATAATTTGCAAATAAATTCATAAAAAATCCTACAATGTGATTTTCTGGATTTTTTTTTCTCATTTTGTCTGTCATAGTTGACGTGTACCTATGATGAAAATTACAGGCTTCTCTCATCTTTTTAAGTGGGAGAACTTGCACAATTGGTGGCTGACTAAATACATTTTTTCCCCACTGTAGTTCAACACTATAGCATAATCAATAAACAGCTGTTTTATAATATAATGAGCAGTGTAGTTTATTTGTCTTGTAAGGGCATGTAATGTCTCTGTATAAACTTAACATTTCTTGACAATGTCTCACATTTAGGACACTCAGCATGCAAGTTTTCCAGGTGCACACAGTAAGTATTCCCCAGCACTTTACACACAACATAAGTCTCTCGCATCTTTAACCTCTGGATACAGGTTGATTTCGTAATGCTCATGAGTTCCCTTCTCACCCTTCCTCACCTCCAGAGAGACAAACCAAGACGTCGAGCAGTCACCAGTCCAAGGCAGCACCATGCGACGGAGATCAGGCCAAGTGAGTGTCCCTCCCCTTCACCCTGAACATTATGGCTAGCCGCCAGCTGCTTAATAATCCAGACAGGTGACACAGATTCTCCCTCCAAGCACTTTGTCTTTTCATGCCTTTGACATAAAGACTCGCAAGCATTGAGGGACACAGAATAGGAGCCATATTGCTTAGTTCTCCCAATAGTTGTTTGTGTGATTATGAAGCCATATCTGGTGTTAATGTGTAACGTCCACGGCCTTGTAATGTTCCAGTAATGTTCTGCTGGAGGATGACCTGAAGCTCAGCAGTGATGAGGACAGTGATGGAGAACAGGACTCGGCTAAAAACGCCTCCAGAAACGCGTCGGCAAGGTAGTGGCCTTACTGGTCTCTCAGACTGAGACCCATTGGAGCTCACGTTCTTGATATGATTCACCCCCCTCAGAACTTAAAAGAAATGCTAGAAGAATAGCTAGCTATTTTAATGTGTAACTACTAACTGATGATGCCTTCACAAGAACAGCCCCAAGCCTGCTGCCCACTGACTAACTGCGTATCCCAATCTCTGTCCCACAGTAACAACAGTAATAACAACGAGGGAGCAGAGCACTCGCGGGACGACTCCAGCAGTCACAGTGGCTCAGAGAGCAGCTCTGGGTCGGACAGTGAGAGCGAGAGCAGCTCCACAGACAGCGAGGCCAACGAGCCTCCTCGCCCTGCATCACCAGAGGTAGGCCTGCTCAGACCTTTGACTACTCTCTTCCCTTTGGCCTGTCATAATAATAATAATAATAATAATAACCGATGACAGTTGTCCCTTGTCAGTACCATTACCTTCTTGCACCTGACCTGTTGAGGTGTGCAGAATATGCTGTAGTAGATCCCAGTCTTACCTCCACACTTTTCCTCACAGCCTGAACCAGCCACAGCCAATAAATGGCAGTTGGACAACTGGTTCAAGAAAGCTAAGCAGTTCTCTCCGGCCTCCCCAGTGGACAATAATGTACCCACTAAGTACAAGAAGGAGGGCCGGGACCAGAGCTCAGGCCGGGGCTACAGCGGGCAGGGAGGGTCTAAGGACTCAGGGGTGCCCACACCTAGTAGAGACCTGAGGGCAGCACAGAAGGGCTCAGAGAGCGCCCGTGGCCGGCAGAAATCCCCGGCTCAGAGCGAGGGTGGTGCAGGCCAGCGCAGGACGGTGGGTAAAAAACTGCCCAAAAAGTTTGAGAAGCCCCCGGTGGTGGAGGAGCCTAAGGGGGGGCTAAGGGTGGAGAGTGAACCTGCTCCGGAGATCCCTCCCCATCGGCCCAAGGCCGCCACCAAGGGCTCCCGCAAACCCAACATCAAGAAGGAGCCCAAGTCCTCGCCCAGACCGGACAAGCGCAAGAGCAAGGCGCCCATCAAGAAGTCCCGGAAGTTTGTGGACACGGAGTCTTCCTCCTCAGAATCAGAGGAAAACGACAGCATTCCCTCGTCGTCGCAGACCCCCAAGTACACAGAGAGCATCAGGACTCCAGTGTGTGTGTTCTCTCCTATGGAAGAGAAAGAGCTGCTCTCTCCTCTCAGCGACCCAGACGACCGCTTCCCCGTCAGGCAGCAGCAGGGGCTCATGGTGAAGATTGACCTGACCCTGCTCTCCCGCGTCCCTGGACGGCCTTACAAAGACCTAGTAGAGCCCAAAGTAGAGAGGGACTGCTCCTTGGACAGAGACAGCAAGGACTTCCAGAAGCAGCCGTCTGAGAAGAGCTCCGGTAAGGGCAAGAGGAAACACAAGGTATGGCCTGCCACAGCACACTGCTATTCATGACATGTTAGGACTTGACTTTGGTTTACTATGCAAATTGGTGAAAAATATTGCTATGACAGGGTCTGTTAAGCTAGAATGTCAATTACTTTTGGCCATCTTCCTAATGTTTATAAGCTGCAGTTTGAAGAGTGGTGTGATATTACATGGTCAGCTGATACCCAGTCTAATACAATATCTATTTATTTTAAAGCCTTTCAAATGCACCCACAATAAATCATCCTTTCCTCTCCCCTGTTATTCAACTTAGAATGAAGACGAGAGCAGCAAGCCTGATGGCAAGAAGTCCAGGCTTGAAGACAAATCCTCATCTCACCACAAGACCAGCAGCAAAGAGTGAGTATTTTCATCCTAACAAAGCCATCACATTGTTAGCTTTTAAACTCCAACATTATGAACATTGAATGCTAACATTGATAACCACCCACACCAGGTCTAAGAGGGCCATGGAGGCCAAGGTGAAGGAGGAGCCGGTGCCTTCTCCCTCCATATCAGGGTCAGGAGGGCTGCAGAGGACGCCCAAGGCAGAGCACCAGAGCCGCAAGCGGACGGTCAGCCAGTCGTCCACCTCCCTGTCCAGCGGAGCCAGCAGTGGCAAGGAGGGAGGCCACAGCACCAAGAGCAGCTCCACCTCCAAACACACAAAAGGCGGGGACAAGCAGGGCAGGAGCACCCGGGAGGGCAAGGTCTGTGTTTGTCAGTCTAGTCTAGCTGTCTCTCCGTCTATGTGGGCTGCACCTTGTCAACCCACTGTCTTGCTCTACCTTGTCAACCCACTGTCTTGCTCTACCTTGTCAACCCACTGTCTTGCTCTACCTTGTCAACCCACTGTCTTGCTCTACTAGACACCATTTTATACAAACTTGTGTACACATCACTGGAGTGTCCTTTACCAGCTGAACTGAGTATTAAGCCGGCACAAATCTTTTACAAGATGTCCACCCACTGCCATGCCCTCCAAATACATTTGGGAAGGACACAAATATATCATTAGTAGCGCATCACTTTCACCACTGCATGATTTGTTATACGGTCACATAAACTAGCCCACATAGGATTATAAACTTTTTTGTTGCGTCTCTGCAGGAGAAATCCTCAAAGGGCTCTGATAACCAGCTTGCTGTGCCACCGCTCTCCTCGGATGGCTCAAAGTCCCTGAGGTCAAAATTGGTGTTTGAGGACAGGTAAGAAGAGCAGCCTCCTCTCCACTGTGGATAACCTACTGCCAGCCAGCATGTAGAGCTGTAGAGAGAGGGTTGCCTTTGATGTCAAGCCCCTGGGATGTCAAGCCCCTGGGATGTGGGGAATGGATGTGCCAGTGTAAATAAAACAGGCCACTTTCCATGGCCTAGAATCTTCACACCCCCTCCCTGTATATTGCCATGTAGTTGTTCGGAGAGTCTATTGGAATAGTTAGAAGAAAAGTACTTAATTTTTATGTTATTTTTCAAAGTACAGGAAATAATTGCAATAACTGACTGGTGAACCTGTTGTGTTTCAGGATTCACTCTGCCGATCACTACTTACAAGAGGCCAAGAAACTGAAACACAACGCAGATGCTCTGGTAAGAAACGATTGCATACATATACAGTATATTAGCTGTTATGTGAAACCAAGAGTATGCCAACTGTTTTGCGCGAAAAGCTAGGGAATTTAGTCATTATTTTGCACACGCTCTGAAATGGAATGGTTTTACTGTGTAGTGCTTTTACATCATCTTATTGGCTCCTCTGGCTACTGAAAGTGGAGCTGCTACAGGAGCTATAATAGTACACCCTGGGGATTATCATCAGATGCCTATGGTATCAATAGTACACCCTGGGGATTATCATCAGATGCCTATGGTATCAATAGTACACCCTGGGGATTATCATCAGATGCCTATGGTATCAATAGTACACCCTGGGGATTATCATCAGATGCCTATGGTATCAATAGTACACCCTGGGGATTATCATCAGATGCCTATGGTATCAATAGTACACCCTGGGGATTATCATCAGATGCCTATGGTATCAATAGTACACCCTGGGGATTATCATCAGATGCCTATGGTATCAATAGTACACCCTGGGGATTATCATCAGATGCCTATGGTATCAATAGTACACCCTGGGGATTATCATCAGATGCCTATGGTATCAATAGTACACCCTGGGGATTATCATCAGATGCCTATGGTATCAATAGTACACCCTGGGGATTATCATCAGATGCCTATGGTATCAATAGTACACCCTGGGGATTATCATCAGATGCCTATGGTATCAATAGTACACCCTGGGGATTATCATCAGATGCCTATGGTATCAATAGTACACCCTGGGGATTATCATCAGATGCCTATGGTATCAATAGTACACCCTGGGGATTATCATCAGATGCCTATGGTATCAATAGTACACCCTGGGGATTATCATCAGATGCCTATGGTATCAATAGTACACCCTGGGGATTATCATCAGATGCCTATGGTATCAATAGTACACCCTGGGGATTATCATCAGATGCCTATGGTATCAATATTACACCCTGGGGATTATCATCAGGTGCCTATGGTATCAATAGTACACCCTGGGGATTATCATCAGATGCCTATGGTATCAATAGTACACCCTGGGGATTATCATCAGATGCCTATGTGTATCTCACTGCCCGTATTAGGAGACTGGATGCGTTCTAGCCCTATTCTACAGTATCCAGGGAACCCATACATTTTTTTATTAGAAATCTACCTGATGCTAATGATATTTCCCACCTCTTTAAGGAATACCTGGGATAGTATAAAGTAATCCTTCTACCCCCCCCCCCAAAAAAAAAAAAACAACTTGTAAAGTGGTTATCCCACTGGCTATAAGGTGAATGCACCAATTTGTAAGTCGCTCTGGATAAGAGCGTCTGCTAAATGACGTAAATGTAAAAAGAATCCCATTACTTTCACCACAAGCACTGGTCATGAAGCGTTCCCCTTGCTACTAACTGTCCTAAATTTGAGTGAGAGGGAATCGGTTGCTTAAGAGCCAGTTTTCCTAATGTGTGTTGTTGCTGTGTGCAGATGGACCGGTTTGAGAAGGCTGTGTACTACCTGGATGCTGTGGTGTCCTTTATCGAGTGTGGCAACGCACTGGAGAAGAGTGCTCAGGAGGCTAAGTCCCCCTTCCCCATGTATGCCGAGACCGTGGAGCTCATCAAGTAAGAATAAATGGCTGTATTTCTCTACAACTTCTCTACGACATGTTTTAACAACATAGTTTCAGTATCAAATAGCAAATATCTTCATAGTAGCAATTACATTTCATAGAAACACCATAGACCCAGCACTGCACAAATGGACAAATTATTCACGGAATTTACAGTATCAACTTTATTATTATTATTATTATGAAACCTTACTTAGAGTGCTGGGAACCGGTCATTAAGGTGTGTGTGTGTGTGTATTTCAGGTACACTATGAAGTTAAAGAGCTACATGGCCCCAGATGCTACGTCAGCAGACAAAAGGCTAGCAGTGTTGTGGTAGGTGTCCTGACTCATAGCTTGATATATTCCATTTAGTGTGTCTGGACTGGATCGTCATTATTCCCCTGCTAACACTCATTCATTCATCCCTCCCTCCTACTCCAGCCTGCGATGCCAGTCCCTCCTCTACCTGAGACTGTTCAAGCTGAGAAAAGAGAGTGCACTGAAATACTCTAAAACACTCACAGAGCATCTGAAGGTAATTCATTTTCCTTGGTGCATGTTCATAGGAGTTGTAATATTGTCACTTCAAATGTGTGTTCCTTGAATTTAGTATTGTATGGATTAGCAGAATGAGAGACAGTCAAGTTGCATTGCTTATGTTTGTTCTGCGTTTCAATTTGTTTTTCAGAATTCCTTGAGCAACACCCAAGCTCCCTCTCCTGGAATGGGAAGGTAAGACATTTTATTAGTTGTATGATGTATGCTGTCTTGAGACCAACAGTCTTCTTAAATGTATTTCTCTTGTCAATTAATGGTCCAGACATTATGCTGAATCATGGTGAATCATCTTGTTTTGAGTGGTTGTGATTCTCCGCTTACCAGCCATCTGTATCTCTCTGTCTTCCAGTAAAGCGGCTGGCATGCCCTCGCCAGTCTCTCCCAAACTGTCCCCAGGTAGTGCTGGTAGCTACTCGTCAGGCACAGCCAGCACCAGCGGCAGCTCCTCGGTAACCATCCCCCAGCGCATCCACCAGATGGCTGCCAGCTACGTCCAGGTCACCTCCAACTTCCTCTTCGCCACCGAGGTGTGGGACCAAGCAGAGCAGCTATCTAAAGAGCAGAAAGGTACCCGACTCGTTTGCTCTCCTCCTCTATCTCTATGGAATGCCTACGGTGGTGTTAGGATATTGATACCTTGGGAGTTGGGCTATCTACTGCTTGTTGAAGACGTTATATTAGGCTCCTGGATGAATCCATAATCTAAGTGAAACTAGCTCTGTAAGTGTTGACCTGGCAAGCCATTCCTGGGCTGGAGGTCTCTGTTAAGTGTTTACCTTACTCACCCTGGTTGTGTTATGTCTCCTGTCTGTTTTGCAGAGTTCTTCACGGAGCTGGACAAGGTGATGGGCCCTTTGATCTTCAACACCAGCAGCATGACTGAACTGGTGCGCTTCACGCGGCAGGGCCTACACTGGCTGAGGCTGGATGCTAAGCTCATTCCCTGAAGGACGCTATATACACTCCACACACACCGTCCACCACAACGCACCGCTGCCCCTTGATGCACACGTGAACTTATCTGCCTCAGACATATCTATAACACTGTGTCCATTTTCTACACCAGCTTGCCAAAAACACTGAGCGATATGGAGCATCTTACACCTACGACTGTCCCACACGGAGGAGGAGGATTCCAACTGCACAGATCTATTTGTACATACTAGCTATATCCACTATCAGCGTTTTCCTCGGTCATATCTTTGGATTGTGCAAAGGAAAGCCATTTTTCTATTTGGCACAATGCCTTTGCTGAATTATTTTAGATGAAATACACTAAATACATTTTATTCTATGGGCTATAAGCACATTATTCACATTCGGCTTTTAATGTGTTATTATTTTTACCAAAGTACCTCCCTCAAACCAAAGGTGCTTTAAAACTAAGGTCTGTCTCTTATCTTTTTTGTGCCTTGTATCTGATATACAGGAAACTAGAATATACCATACGTTGAAATGCAGATCCAGCCAGGTTGGTGAGGATTTTAAATGCTTTGGAGACATTTTAAGAATAATTTCAAGCTTCCAAAAATGACTTTGGAATAGTACTGGACTCAAGCTGTGATCAGTGGGTTGAAGGCAGCCCTGATGGTGTGTGAAGTGACAAGAGAGCTTGGTTTGCCTGACAGGTATCCCTGATGCATACACACATTACGCTAACAGTTGCCATTGAAGTGGAGGTAGCTTGCGGCTGACCATATTGGTGTTAGCCTGTGATGCACCATTCAATTGATTTTGTTGAAGTTACTTTCATCGTTCTGAAGCACCACAATATATTCATTATCTGTCAATGAGTTCTTCCTATGAATTGCCCTGCGAGATGTTCATTTCTAAACAAGGTGTTATTGTTCCATTGATTCCTTATAGATCTGTACCGGAAAGGGTTGCTGTTGGTGTATTTTTCTAAGGCACAGAATGGTGTGGTTGGTATGGCAAATGTTATCCTTGAAACACAATGTAATTATTAGTATCGTTTCTGCAAAAATTGCCCGGTGAAAGCAGAACGTTACTGCAAGGAAGGACATAAATGCACTCACATTTTAAGACTACAATTATTCTAATAAGTTATGTAGCATACACATTGGTGGTGCTCATTAGCCATACGTAGATTACATTGTTGTAAGCACATGAGTGTTATATTCCAGTCACAAAATACATGGCCAATATAGATTTTATTTATGTACCAAGCAGTTGCTCTGTTTAAAGTTCTTAACTTTCAGATTAATAGGATTGAAAACAGGGTTGAAAGAGCTATGAAATGCAAAGTATTTCTATTGTATATGAAAATGTAATATTTAAATGTTTAAAAGTGGTTACTGGGTTCTCTACATAGTATAAAAGTAATTTGTGTACTACAAAACGTAAATAAATAAGTAATCTATGGTCTATATTTATGGTACAGGTTATATAATATAACAAATTGAGCTAATGTAGTGGTAAACTGGCCTAATATTTACGTGTTCGAAGGTTATTTTGTATTGTCATTCATTTTGCAGCAAGGCAAATGTGGACATGAGTGATTTTGAACAGAAAAATGTACTTAATGCATAAGTGATATTGTATGATGAAGGACTTTTCTTATTAGCCCACTTACAGTATACACATGCTGGAAACACTAGTACCTTTTCTTCCCCCTCATTGGCTCCCTTGTCATTTGGGGAAAACTGTTATTTCTTCTTGCACTCAAAGAGTAGAGGAAGATTTTTTTTTTATCTATGCAGGATTTTTAAAAACTAAATTCATTGAAAATCATTTTGGGGCTTTTAGTTTGAAATCAGGAATTTCCACTCTTGTTTGACACAAATGTTTGACACACATGTCCAATGCTTTTAGCTTGTGCATTATGCTTGTCCACTGGTTTACTGGTATATGTGTATATATAGCTCTGTTTTAGTAACCAAACATGGATGGCTTAATGAAGCCATTTTATACCTTAAGCTGGAGGCCACTTTTCTCATAGATATTCCTCTGGGTGTGGGTGCTTGTGTAGCCACTCCTATGTCTTCATACACTGGTACACTTTTAAGTACAGCTTCAAGACTTGTGTTCCATATATTCAGATGTACAAAAGATGATTTAGGATGATTTTAACAGTTCTCGTAAGTCTTTCGCTCATATTTATTTGTTTTTCTGCCCCTTTTGCTTGTCAGCCATTCTTTTTTAAAAATGTTTTACTGAATATAATTTTATGAGTTTAGAAGATATCGTTGTATGGGTTGTTTGTTACATTGAAATATGGTAAGTATAATTAGTTAACTTGAAGAAATCCAGGGTAAAATAAATTTTTCTGACATTCAATAGAAAGACGTAACACTTGCATGTTTATTTAAATACAAATCTGTACAAATTGTATATAAAACAAATCATTTAGGGTGACTTTTTACTACCGTTAAACATTTGTATTGACGCATTTTGTCTTCCAAAATGTTAGAGATGACACAAGTCTCTGAACCATGTACAGTACCAGTCAAAAGTTTGGACACACCTACTCATTCAAGGGTTTTTCTTTATTTTTACTATTTTCTACATTGTAGAATAATAGTGAAGACATCAACACATATGGAATCATGTAGTAACCAAAAAAGTGTTAAACAAATCAAATATATTTTTATATTTGAGATCCTTCCAATAGCCACCCTTTGCCTTGATGACAGCTTTGCACACTCTTGGCATTCTCTCAACCAGCTTCACCTGGAATGCCTTTCCAACAGTCTTGAAGGAGTTCCCACATATGCTTAGCACTTGTTGGCTGCTTTTCCTTCACTCTGCAATCCGACTCATCCCAAACCAGCTCAATTGGGTTGAGGTTGGGGGATTGTGGAGGCCAGGTTATTTGATGCAGCAGTCCCACTAAGCCCAAACCAGATGGGATGGCGTATCGCTGCAGAATGCTGTTGTAGCCATGCTGGTTAAGTGTGCCTTGAATTCTAAATAAATCACACACCGCGTCACCAGCAAAGCACCCACACACCATAACACCTCCTCCTCCATGCTTTACGGTGGGAACTATACATGTGGAGATCATCCGTTCACCCACACCACATCTCACAAAGACACGGCGGTTGGAACCAAAAATCTCCAATTTGGACTCTAGACCAAAGGACAAATTTCCACCGGTCTAATGTCCATTGCTTGTGTTTCTTGGCCCAAGCAGGTCTCTTCTTCTTATTGGTGTCCTTTAGTAGTGGTTTCTTTGCAGCAATTTGACCATGAAGGCCTGATTCACACAGTCCCTTCTGAACAGTTGATGTTGAGAGTTGTCTGTGACTTGAACTCTGTGAAGCATTTATTTGGGCTGCAATTTCTGAGGCTGGTAACTCTAATGAACTTATCCTCTGCAGCAGAGGTAACTCTGGGTCTTCCATTCCTTTGGTGGTCCTCATGAGAGCCAGTTTCATCATAGCGCTTGATGGTTTTTGCGACTGCACTTGAAGAAACGTTCAAAGTTCTTGAAATGTTCCGTATTGACTGACCTTCATGTCTTAAAGTAATGATTGACTGTTGTTTCTCTTTGCTTATTTGAGCTGTTCTTGCCATAATATGGATTTGGTATTTTATCAAATAGGGCTATCTTCTGTATACCCTCCCTACCTTGTCACAACACAACTGATTGGCTCAAACACATTAAGGAGGAAAGAAATTCCACAAATTAATTTTTAAGAAGGCACACCTGTTAATTGAAATGCATTCCAGGTGACTACCTCATGAAGCTGGTTGAGAGAATGACAAGAGTGTGCAAAGCTGTCATCAAGGCAAAGGGTGGCTTTTTGAAGAATATAAAATATATTTTGATTTGTTTAACACTTTTTTGATTACTACATGATTGTGATGATGTGTTATTTCATAGTTTTGATGTCTTCACTATTATTCTACAATGTAAAAAAATAATAAAGAAAAACCCTTGAATGAGTAGGTGTTCAAACTTTTGACTGGTAGTGTATATCAATATGTTTATCAATCATTTTTGTTTCTGTATTGTATGCCTTGTCTCCTGCTTCACCACTGTCTGTCATTATCATTGTCGTCAACATCATCATCAATGATGTCTTTAGAATCAGGTGCTAATAATGTATGTTCTGTATTTGATATGGAGACATGTAAATCTATGAAATGTATATTGTTGATCAGATTGAATGGATGTTGGAGTGAGATGTACATTTGATCAAAAGAAAAACCATCTCAGTTTCTACTGCATGTGAGAAAGCTGTATCCCTTTTGAAATTGATCCGAGATGTATTTTGAATTAGGGGTATTTCTCTATGTCAAGCAGTTGTAGAAGTTAATACAGTATGCTGTACTTAGTTTTTCTCAAAAACCATCAGCATACAAAGTACAGTAGTCTAAATTGGGTTAGTTTTAAAATATTGAGAACAGAGATATATATTATGGATGCAATATTAAGTAAAGGTACTCTGATGAGGTAGTTATTCGAACTCGGAATAACATGTAATTTAAAATTATTGTGAAGTATTACTTGTTACTAATGGGATTTCAGAGTCTGTCCTGAATATTCTTTGTATTTTGCCTTATTGAGAATAAAATATATATGGTCTTTCAATTTACTTGTTTCCAATACATTATACCATAATGTCAATATACAGTACTTGGATGTAATGTATTTAAGAATGTGATTTTGATTGAATGTAGAAACCTTATCATATTCATTTCACACAACCATTTTTAGTGACACAGAGCCCTTTCTGGTCGCTGGCTTCTTTTAATTCTGCAAAATGGTAAGCAGCATCATCTGGATATGTGTGCAACAAAAGTTCAACATTCACCGTGTACGCATACAGACTCTCACTTCTCTCATTGACTTCTCAAAGCCCAAACCCCGGCCTTGTCGCAAGCGTTACCGGAAGTCTCGCGATGTTGCACCTCTGGGTTTAGAAACTGTGATTATATTGCTAAACCCCGTGCTGTACTATCTTTGATTATAGCATCAAATTCATGAAAACGCGGTCATATAAGATAT